TCATACAGTGGTACAGATTCCCCAGAGGAGTTGATACGGGTTGCGAACCTTCCAAAATTCACACCGATCTGTTTCTTAACCAAGAGCGCATGTTCTTAAAGCATCAGTCGATCGCAACCGTCATCTTTTTCTTATCATTTATTCTATATTCAGGAAACTTTCAAAATGCTTTTGCCTTCCAATTACATCAAGGAAAAGATCAAATTGTCTAAGGAAAAAATCAACTATCCTCTCTATGTTGTTATTTGTAGCTACCAAACTTCTCATCATATAAGCTTACAGCTGGTATACCTTCAGAAGTGATATTTCAACAAAAGTCATGCAAGAAACACAACTAGAAGTTGAAATCTCTGTAGCACGGGCTGTCATTAATTCAAAGACAGATCTAACACCTATGAATGCAAAGTAGAATGATATCCACATTGCTAAGTTATAATGATGTATACATGACTGATTTCCAGCCATAAGGTCAATGGATGTTACCTGAAGCTTGAGATTGACATGCCACCACATTTTCCATCTCCTGTCTCAACCAGCAAACAATATCGTCAAATGCTGGTTCATAAAAATCACAGCCAGCTGAATTTCTAACTGTTAAAACCAGGATGATCTGATGATTTAATTTTGGATCTATACTAAATTACAATCTGAAAAAAAATCCATAAGCTATTCTTACAGATAAATACTTTTCTCATCTTTAGTATCAAAATTTCTATCACTGTAATGTCACTGGCAGTGTTAATCATTCTGATATTCTAAACCAAGTTAACAACGGAGTAGTCCAAACAAACTTCCAGTCAGGTGCCAATACCCCAGCAAGATACGGTGGAGAAACAAAATTTATAGGAAAGGCAGCTTAGAAAGGGGAAATTTGTTCCTCAAAGCAGCACTTATTTGCACTGACCATGCCCCCAGAAACAGTTTCTTCTAATTCATTGGCTAAACGGAGAAGCAGCAAGCAAAAGCGACAACATTCTTTAAGAAAGTACGACAATTACAGAGGACCAACAAACAGTAAGTTCTACCTGAGGATTATCCTCCAGTATATGAATATTCAATTGCAAGCTGGATTTAGAAAAGGGCGTGCAGAATAAAAGGAAGACATGCAGATATCTAAAATCAGTAGACAACTAAGAATATCTAACACGTAAAAAACTTCAAGCATCAATAAATCTCTCAGGAATTTCCTTACAACTATTATTAAATAGTTTCCTGAGCTATCTTTCTAAGAATTGAAGACAATTAAATTAGCAGCTACAATTAAATAACTAGCATTATCTTTTTACTTGTGCAGAGAAGCCTTGTCTCATTTCATAACCAGATCTATTCAATGACATAAAAGTTCAGCTTACATACGAGGACTATTATGTCTCCAAACTGTTAATCATCATGATTCAGGGCCCACAGCAGAAATAAACAGAGATTTTATCCAAGAGCGCATGTTCCGAGATTTACTTTTCTTGCAATGACTCAATTTACTTTTCACATGTAAATTGCACAAACTGTCCCGAGATTTTATCCATGTTAGCAACCATTTCTGACATGATCAAAATATAAACAGAGACCTCGGAAAAAAATACATCAAATCTATATATAGATTCCTCCCATGTGAACATTAATGGAAAGCAGAAAAAAATCTTTAACTCTCCTATGAAATAAATTACCATAGTCACACAAAATGCGCAATTGTAATGCTCACGTGACAGGTTATCATATTAGTTATGTAAAACTCGTTTTTCAGCCAGTAAAACTCATAGGTAAAAATCCTAAAAATCAGACATACGAAATTAGCTTCTAAAATTTCTTCCTAACAGCTCATCATACTACTCTTAACAATGTTCTCTTCAATATCTGAAAGGAATAAATGGCAAAGAGAAACTTAAGAATGGTAGCTAACGATATAGAAGTCAAATTACCAAAGAAATGCGCCAAAAGAACAAAGTTCTTTCCACCATATGACAAATTACCACAGTTTAGCACAACGTAACAGTGTTCAGTACACGAGAGATAGGAAGACAATCAGTTCTACTATAATTTGGCAGATCTCCTTCTAATTATACTCAATACAGGATACTTCTTTTGGAAAATACACAAATTACCCTATTGTAGTACAAAATATTAAGAATATTATAAGATCACTTACTCAGAAAATTTAAGATTAGTTCTTTAAGGAATGGATCTTGTTAACGAGTGCCCCCGGGCCACTTGATAACCATACCTAATAAAGACCGCTTTGATTTCCAATGCTCAAAACTCCTAACACGAGGACGACAGGAACATATGAGATTGCAAAATACAAGATACTTCTGTCGGAAAACACACAAATTAGCCTATTTTAGTACAAAATATTAAGATCACTTCCTCAAAAAATTTAAGATTAGTTACTTAAGGAATGGATCTTGTTAACGAGTGCCCCTGGGCCACTTGATAACCGTACTTAATAAAGACAGGTTTTGATTTCCAATGTTTTGATTACACCTAACCGAGGAAGATAGCATGAAGTGTAGACAAGCTTGTTATATTATACATCATGCACCTTTTTAATACTTTTACTTCTAGATGACTACATACGAGATTGTTGAAATAGTGCTTAACCTAAGAGTAAAAAAGCACTAGGACAACATGATTTTGCTTGTGACGTGCTGAGGCAGGAACATATTGCACAAGACATGGCACATGATAGTCAATAAGTATATGTAATATACATTGCATGTAACTGAAATCATATGGCTATTGTTTTTGCAAAGAAATTAATTGCTTTTTCCGATATGCTCATATAATTTTACTGCAACTCCTCAACTAATTATGAGAACATTGTACTGTGCATTTATTATGTCTTTCAGTGTCAAGTGAATGGAGGACTTCCTAAGAAAGATCTAAGAGGGAAACATGAAATTGCAAGACAAAAGTAGGACCCCTTGTGCCATATTATTTCCCATATAAAGTAAACTCCTCAGTGACTTTCTCAACGATATTGTTCTATACAAAGGAAAATAAGATCTCGTGCATTTCAGTTGACATCATACGTAGAAAACTCCTAATCAATAAACTTAGAGCATATTTGACTGATAATTATCATCTTCATCACATCCCGAAATGAGCATGATGTTAATGAGAAGTCATTAAAAAGTTAAAAAGAGAAACTGAAAGTTCAATCAACATCATCTTACACCATAAGAAAGTTAATCTGTAACCTTGATCAGTTAACACATGTACTACAAAACAATGTATCAAACTTAGCCTCACCCACGCACTATGTGAGATTCTCCAAAACCCAAGCACTTATCTGCTCTTCCATAGCCTCACCCACATACTATGTTGGATCCTCCTCGGGACTTCTCCACTATATCTTCCACAACCTTGCTGCAAATTTGCGTAGGTGTAAGGAAGAAAAATAAGCCCGTAAAGCGTATTGGTTGAAATTAACGTAAATAAAGTAGAAAAAAGTACTAGAAAGACATTAGAAGGACACCAACAAAGTAGTAAATTGGTTAATTCAAGAGGTTGAAAAAAGACAAAAGTATAATTGCAAGATGTCAAAAGAAAAAGCCTCCCAGCACCATAATATTTAATACCATGTTAATAACTTGAAAGCAACGAGTGAAGAAAGCACGGTGAGGATCCGAATTTAAAGTCGTCTAACGGCACGATGGCTTAGATTTAAGCACCCTTTGGACGATATTTGCCATTCTAACTGTTGATAAAAATCAAATGCATCTAAAAAGCTGATGGTCATGTATCTCTGATAAATACTGCTAGATATTACTCATATCTAGTACAGGTGTCCAGTAACCGTTAAAAAAATTTTCTGCTATACCTGCCAAGTTAATAGTACATGTCTACCTAAAATAAGAAGATTCATCTCCAATAAACAAAAGGTAGTAATCTTGCAAAGCAGAACTTGGGGAAACAATCGCTCGCACTAAAAAACTTCATTTAGAATCAAAGTCGAGTGTCAAATGCAAGGCACACGAATACATGCCTTAATCATCAAATGATCCCAACAGAAAGTGTATTTCATGCCATCCTCGCTAAAAATTAACAAAGCATCAGTTGGTTCCCGATCCTTGAGCTCATCAACGAGTTCCTTGCAAGATAGCTACTCAAATTTTCCAAGATGCATCCATCAGTAGCCCGTTGTGGATGGTTAGGAAATTAGTCAGCTGGCAAAATGAAAAACGCATTAGTTGAAAAACCCACCGGACAATCAATGTTACAAGTGAGAATTTCAAGAAGCCACTATGATACTTTAGGTGCGAGAAAAATGAGAATGTGCCACACATGCAAGTTAATCCAATTATTGTTCATTGACAAATGTACATTCAGGTTGTGAAGTGTGTCTGAAGGTTCTTAACGCAACAGATGTCCAAGAAGATGATGATTAGGAATACCTTGGAATGGAATAACTTTGCTACCAGAAAACAAAAGTAATAGCATATAGCTAAGAGGAAAATTTTGTTTGTGAATGCGAAGGATTCGCGCTAGAAAAACTTGGGTTCTCAATTATAATGGCAATTAGTAGTTATCCTATATACCGCAAAACTAATTAATCAATACTATTGGTGATAGAAAGAACACAAGTGGCTTTTGCATTCATCCACCTGGCCATAATTTATAGTCAGCCATACTTAAGTTGCCTTGTCAACCAGCCTAATCAAGAAAGAAGAATCCTATTTTGTTCTCGAAAAGTTATTATCTTTGATAAGCATAATCACGTCATAAATCTGGTCATCTGAGTAAAAAAGAAAAAGGCAAAAACAGAAACAGAAGAACCTTTAGATTAGGCGTCGTGAGCAATTAATTGAATGACGAGGCTATCGGATGCCAACTACTATTTCCCATGCAACTGTTCATACATGCATGTAGGTTAACTGCTGAACAGTGAAATTACATTAAAAGAAGTGAGGGCCATTTTCAAAAGCAGTCGGCCAACCATGTGAGATAAAAATTGGTGCATTGGTATATCATCATATCACTCTTCGGTATGACTGAAAAGTCCATTTAATCTAAATCAAGAAAGAAGATATTTGCTTGTGATGTTAATATTTCCACTCTAAACGGTGGAAAAATGGTACAAATCATAATGGCAATAAAAGTAGCCAGAAGCCATACAAGTACCATCTTAGCAACACTTAAATGCGAAAGATCAACAAATCCATCGAAGAAGAGAATGCAGAAGAAACTCATCCATGAGAGCAGGTAGAAAGAGAATCAACAAACAGCCTTGTGGGCATGAGAAAAAAAGTTCCTTGATTCCATAAATAAGCTCGCGAATCCTTTCTGACCATATGCATAGAGAACCACTTCCAATCCTAGAATCCTTTTCCTTACCAAATTCTTGCCAAACAGTCTGCATCATTCAAGTGGCAGACTGAACAACACGCAACACCATCATGGCATAATCGAAGACCACAAATAAGGATGCAACTGATTCTCTTTTTCTGCTATCCGCCTGGCATGTACATCAAGAACTGACGACCACTTGTAATCCCCTGGACGAACTGACCTGTCAATATTCAAAGATGAAATGTCTATGCAGACAATCTTCAACACAAAACAACAAGAACTTATATCCATCACTCTTGACCTGAGCTGAATAAAGCTTGAATAAATCACTGTGGTACTTAAGTATAAACAATTAGATATAAATCGATGGACAAGCCTTCCAAGTAAACATTGAAGCCTTTTCATGACCTAGATAAAAGCACTATCCATTCTCAATTTCATATGGTTAACTCCGTCCATTGTGTAACAGAATAACTAAATTGATTTAATGGTGGTCAGTAACTCCCACGGTCATGCTTGAGAAAATTGCCATTAAATCATAACCTTCTTTTCCTAGCCAAGAGAATTTCAACCTCTCCAAAAATCTGCAGCCATTAGATCATGTGGAAGTAATCCACCTAGATGATGCGTTAATCATACAAAATACAAAACTTCCAATGTATTCAATTTGTTATATAGGCTTTGTTATTGAAAATGGTTGTCCGAATACAAATCAGATACGCCTCTCGACGCAACATGTATCAGGTGTCTTGAGTTTATTCATTGTTTGTACCTTTTAAGAACACCTGCCTCTGGGGTGAACGCTTACCCAAGCCACAGAAGACATATGACAAGAAAGGCATGTGACTCAGGTTAACAAATTAATTGCTAACACTTGATTAGATATAACATCCGTGCCACTCAGGAACTCGAAAAACGACAATCCTTCAAAACACGGAAGTACAACTTCACATGCCAGATAGGAGGGCCTCCCACAGTTCGAACACTAGATAACTTGAAAGATCGGCGCATTGCCTCAGCCAAGCAACTAGTGCCACTGTGGTCAAATAAATCCAACCAAAGAACCCAACGGTTTCTGTCGACGCAAAAAGACATCATCTTTGATTCTCATCTTCCACTGCATTGACACTAGACCACCCCGTGATTCATGAACAGCCGTTTTTACTATCAATCTCCGAACCTCGTTCTCTCCTAGACATCAAAACAATTAGCCTCAACGTAACCCATTCAAACAAGCAAGCATCACAACTCAAAACTTCAGTCAAAATCAAATCAACGAGCAGAGCAAAGCTCATCGCCGCCACAAAAAAAAAAAAAAAAAACAGAACTAAACCTCGACGCGGCCTCCTCTCACCACAACCCAATCTCTCGCGCTCTGCTCCACTTCATCGAGGCACTCACCAACATCGAAACCAAAAGAAAAAAATAACAACAAAACAACGGAGATAAGAAGGTTTCCCTACCACGCCGCACTTCTTCCAATCGCCGATCGCCCCTCCGCCGCCTCGACTCCTCAGGGGGACCCTACGCTCTTCCACCCGCTCCCCCCCCCCCCCCCCGCCCCCCAAAGCCCACACAATGCAACCGCGAGAAAACACCGGGCGGGAAGGGCGGCCGGCCGATCGAACTGGAAGCGGCCACCTAGGGTTGCGAGCACCCGCCCGCTCGCGGGGCGCGTCGAGTTCGAACATCCTCGCGGAGGACAGAGTAAGGGGGGGAAGGAGAGCACGGGCGGCCGCGAACTGATCGGAGGAGAGCGGAACGGCGCCCGCCTGCGCCCCCCCCCGCGCCCGCGCGAGAGGACGAAGGCGGAGGGCGCCGCGGCGGGCGGCGGGCGGCGCGGCGGAGGCGGAGGGCGGCCGCCGGTCCTCTGGAGGGAGGGAGGGCCTTCGCCCCACCGCGGCTTTGGGCTCCAAAAAAATGTTCGTAATGGTTTTCGCGTTGCCGCCTTTTGATCTTCTCTTCCCTCCCGCTCTCTCTCTCTCTCTATCTCTAGGCCTCGCTGATATTTTCCACCCCTTTTTTTTATTTATCTTATTGTTTTTTTTGGGGCCCCGGCAAGAGAGAGGAAAAAATGAGGAAGGGGGGCCGGTCACCGGTGGCAGTTTCGTAATTGCCGCGGCCTTTTCGACCGCCACGTGTCGATCGGTCCGGGATTTTGGGATTCAAAGGGGGTGAACATTAGGCCCGCGCATTACGAGGACAAAGCTTTTTGTCGGAAAAATCTCGTTATAAACCCACTCACGATATTATTAGGATTTTAATATAAATATAAAACGCATTTCCATCTAACGGACCAAAAAAATAAAAGAAAATGACCATATCGACCCTCCCGTGAAATCACATAAATATCTTTCGAGTTTTGATCCTCAGCCGGACCTTAAAAGGCTCAAGGAGAAACGGGAAAAGGAATTCCCCGATATGATGAAGGGATCTCCCTATAAGTTTTTTTTTCATATTCTCTCTTTTCAAGAAAAAAAATGGAGGAAATTTAGGATTCTCTTTAGTGGTGAAGGTGTACACCACGTCAATTTCGATTGGCTATTTCCGAGTAGGCAATTTAAATTTTAATAAGTTAAAAGTTATATCTCCGGGTAGGCAATTTGAATCTTTTTAAGTTAAAAGTTATTAGTGAGTAATCGATTTAGTTTTGCCGATGCTATTGCTCGTTTCCCTATTATAACATTTTCGCCTTTTTCGTAGTTAAATGGGCTTGTGACGTCCAATTTGATTTTGAAAAAATTTGAAGAATGTCGAGGAAAACCGTACAAGAAGGAAAGTATGTACCCTATAAAGAAAATAAATCCCATCTAGATTTTTTTTTTATTTAAAAAAGGGCGAACGTCATAGATCACTCCATTGTCCCGCATGGTCAATCAATTCTTAGTCAATAATGGAGTGCCAAATACAAAAGTTTAGGAATAAAATAATAAACGTTGTACGCCTAGAAATCTAAAGATGGAAGAGAGATCAAAACAAGATACATATTTAATCCGCCACGAAGTGAAATGAATATGCCACTTTGAGACCACTTTATAAGTGGAGGACTCTAAATAAATAAATGCATCGAACCACGTGTGAGTCGCAATTGAGATAGACGACTTCGTCACAATACTCAGGCTCCGTTTATTTCGTAAAAATTGAATAATTTAGAAAAATATTCCTAAAAAAATCGTTTGCATTGCTCGAAATAATTAGTTAATTAAAAATATTTTCATTATCGATAACAATTTATATCTAAACATTTTCGTGAACAAAAACCATTTATTTTCCTCGAAACAAGCGCATCATTGGCGGAAAATAAATGATTTAAAGCATATTTTTCTCATAATAATCATTTGTATCGTTTGAAATAATTAGTTGATGAAAAAAAGATTTAGATAGATGCTAAAACATTTTCTTTCAGAAGATAAAGGACATTAATAAAAGAAGAGATCCATAACAAAAATCATGAAATCTCTTACCGGAATCCTTCGAATTGAATTCTTCTTCCGCTAGATGAGCCATTCATGGATTTCACCGTCGAGGCAACTCATTTATGATCTGACCAAAAAATTGAAGACGAAGATGAGATAGAATTCTCCTTTGACACAAGAGACATATAGGGTAATTAAAATTCCAAAATGACAAGAGAAAATAAGATAAATTAGAGATGAGTATCCTAAGTTTGAACGAGATCTCAAACGAAAAAGATCCACCACAAATGGAATTGAAATTTTCGAGACATATGAAAAAAAAATGAATTTGTGATTTTGTGTGTATCGAGAGTTGGCCAAAGAACGATAGAGTTAATGTTACTTGGAAATCGACCAGGGAAGTCAATGGAGGGAGCAGTAGTGATTTTTCACGTAAAATGAATGAATTTAAAAAAATTTCCTAAAAATAATCGTTTGCATTGCTTAAAATGATTAATCAATGGAAAATATTTTCGTTATCAATAACAATTTATGTCTATATATTTTTTGTAGACGATGAAAATATTTTTCGTTCATTTATTTTCATGAATGATATAAGCGATCATTTTTAGGAAAATATTTGAAAGCTCATCTTGCAGTTATCATGTATGCCTTTGTCAGTTTGCACAATTGTAAAACATGCAACGGCCAACTTTAAAAAGTAGCAATTCATTAATCACAGCATCTGGCATGGCATTAAAATTCAAACCAAACCTCTTCTAATTTAATGAATTGCTTCTTTTTAAAGTTGGCCATTGCCCGTTTTACAATCGTGCAAACTGACGAAGGCGTAAGCGACAGCTGTAGGATGAGCTTGCCTATATGGAATCATGTGTTATGTTGTTTCCAAAATGACAGAATTTCAAAACCTTTGAATAAAAAATTGTTTCTTATTTTCCATCACTGCCGCACCCCCTCCATCTACACTCCCAAACTCACCCAATTCACCAATTTCCACAATTGTAAAGTATGCAATGGCCAACTTTAAAAGTGGCAATTCATTAATTACAATATCTTCCATGGCATTAAATTTCACATCACACCTTTTCAAAGATGGGTTTTAATTATAAATAATCATCTTTATTATTTGAAAAAAAAAAAAGGAGGATGGTCACTTTTATGGTGGGGTTTCAAGAACAAAAATCAAATTGCAAAACTTTTAAAAAAAATTTATTGATTACATAAAATTCTTTTTAAATCTTCGGCAACTTGACTAATCTGCTATTATTTAGTTACATCAGAACATGTGATTTCGAAAATAATCAATCAAACAAAAGTATTTACCCTAGAAAGAAAATAAATCCCATATAAATTCTTAAAAGCGACGCATGGTCGATCACTTCTTGTCATACTGGAGAACCAAATAAAAACTTTGCAATAAAATAATAAATATTAGATTCCTAGAAAGCTAAAGATGGAACAGAAATCAAAACACAACATATTCATTTTGGGACGAAGCAAAATGAATATGCTCCTTTGAGACCACTTTATATGACAAAAAACTCTAAATAAATACAACTTTAACATTCAATGATTTGAAGGATTTGATTAGTCAATCATCTGGGATTTTGAGCAAGGAAAAGAAAAGATTCGTGTGATCAAAATAATTTATTTTCTTTTCTATAATACCTAGGACGTTTTCTTTACGAAGATAAAGAACACTAATACAAATAAGAGATCCGTAACAATATTCACGAAATCTCTTACAGGAATCCTTCGAATCGAATTCGTTCTTCAACTATATCGGCCATCCCCACAGATTCCATCGTCGAATCAAGCCATCCGCGATCTAGCAAAGATGTAGATGGAGATGGGATGAAATTCTCCTTTGGCACAAGAGGCATAAAAGGGTACTTCAAAATTCAAAATGACAAGAGAAATAAGATGAAATAGAGATGAATATCCTAAGACTGAACGAGATCTCAATGATAATATTGATCCACCCCAAATCGAATGGAGATTTTTGAGACACTTGTAAAGAAGAAAGCTTGTGTTTTTACCTGGAAATCGATGAAGGAAGTCGAGGAGGGGGGAGGCTGCAGTAGTGATGGAAAATCATAAACAGCGATACCCCCAAAAGAGATCGAAAGAGCTCGAGTTGATATAAATATAAGCTGTCAATCCATCTTTTTCGGGTAACAACATAAAACTTGATCCTAAACGGGCAAGTTCATCCTGCGGTTGTCATGCATGTCCTTACGAGAATTGGCTATGCATCCCGTAGTTTTCCAATTCTGCAAATCGACAGAGATATGGATGACAATTGCACGATGAGCTTGCCTGTTTAGAATCGCGTATTTATGTTGCTACCAAAATGATGAATGCCAAAACCATATTTATATCCACCCAAACTCTTTCGATTTTTTTTGTGGGTGCCGTTGTATTCTGATTTTTTTCAATCTCTATTCACCATTTTAAACTTCGATTGGGAATTAATGGCAATTCGGTCTTGTTAGTGAATATGTGATGGGTTAAGTCGTATATGAAGTGGAAATAGTCTCACCTAAGTCTTCGTTTGTTTTGCGGAAAATGAATAATTTATAAAATATTTTCCTTAAAATGATCGTTTGTATCGCTTGAAATAATTAATCAATGAAAAATATTTTCATTATTGGCAAAATATATATGTCTCAACATTTTGGCGACGATGGAAATATTTTTCTTTCATTTATTTTTTTAAGTGATACAAGAGATCGTTTTTGAGAAAATATTTTTCAAATCATTCTTTTTCGCGAAACAAACAAAGCCTTAGGGCGGGACTATTTCCACTCCTTACATGACTTTATCCACCACATATTCACTAACAAGATCGAATTGCCATTACTACCCAATTGAAGTTTAATGCCATGGAGGATTTTATTTTTTTCAGAACTAAGAATTGCTAATAAGAGAAGAGAAAGAAATCCCTAAAGTTCCTTAGTTAAATCTGTCGAATTGAATTCTTCTCCAACTAGATGAGCCATCCATAGATTCCATCCTTAAAGTAAGCCACTTATGATCTAACCAAGGGATGGAAATGAAGATGTAATATGACTTTTTTAATTCATTGTTCCGTTAACAACATGTTACGTGGCTCCACGCAAGCAGACTCACCCTACAGCTGTCGTGCATGTATTGGTCAGTTTCCACACTTGTAAATCATGCAATGGCCGGCTCTAAAAGCTGGCAATTCATTAATTACGATATCCTCCGTTGCATTAAATTTCAATTTACAACTTCATTACAATAATTTAGTTAAACATTCGATGATGGGAAATAATTTTTTTTTTTTATCTGTCATTCTCTAACTTTCAACTCACTTTCAATCGTTTGTTCCGCCTCTTTACAGATCGTGGGAGTCAAAATTCATATCCGAAACTAGAAGATGGGAATCAAACTCCGATGATGGGAACGATTTGAACATGTGTTTTGGATCTAGACAAATTTCGTTCTCTACACCACTTAGTCAATCATATGTGACTTTGATAAAGCAAAAAATAAAAAACCAATGTGCGATCAAAACAATTTCTTTTCTTTTCTAATTATCCCTAAAACGTTTTCTTTCAGAAGATAAAGAACACTAAATAAAAGAAGAGATCCATCACGAAATTCCTGAAATCTCTTACCGAAATCGTTCGAATTGAATTCTTCTTCAACTGGACGAGCCATCCACAGATTCCATAGCTGAAGCTGATCATTCACGATCTAACAAAGACGAAGATGAAGATGGGATTAGATTCTCCTTCGGCGCAAGACACGTAAAGGGTACTTCGAAATTCAAAATGACAAGAGAATAAAATAAGATGAAATAGAGATGAATATCCTAAGTTTGAACGAGATCTCATCAACAACAATGATCACGAATAAGATGGAGAATTTTGAGACATCTGAAAAAAAAGAGTGTGATTTTATGTGTATTTTGGCCAAAGAACAGAAGAGCTGTTGTTACCTGGAAATCGATGGAGGAAGTCGACGGAGGGGTGCAGTATTGATGGAAAATCTAAAACAGCGACCACCCCCAAAAGAGATTGAAAGAGTTCGAGCTCGTATAAATATAACTTGTCAATTCATCATTTTCGGTAACAACATAAAACTTGATTCTAAACAGGCAAGTTCATCCGGCATAGTTATCGCGTATGTCATTGCCAGAATTGGCCATGGATCCTTGCAGTTTTACGATTGCGCAAACTGACAAGGGTATACATGACAATTCTGCATGATGAGCTTGCCTGTTTAGAATGGCGTGTTATGTCCTTACCAAATTGATGAATACCTAAACCACCCTAACCATTTCGGTTTTTTTGTGGGTGCCATCGTTTTCGATTTTGTCATCACTATTCACCACTTTCAAATTCAATTGGATATTAACAGCAATTTGGTCTTATTAGTCAATGTCAAGTGGATTAAGTCATGTGGGAAGCGGAAATAATAGTCCCAGCCTAAGATAAACTCGGTCAAATATTGACGCCATTGTGGAAAATATATTTCCTAATGTTGGAAAAAGATTAAAAGTCCTTAAACTTTTTTTTGCAAGGTAGTCTTGAAAAATATATTCTTTCACAAGTAAGAATTGCCAATAAAGGAAAAGAAAAGAATCGGGATAATTACTCAATCAGTTTTAAACCTATTGTACGAATGTCAATTCAGTCCTTAACTTTTCAATTTTGCCAATATAGTCCTAAATCTTTGCGCGAAATTCTGATGTAATCTTTCCGACCAGTTGCCGCCAGAAATTACTAACGTGGAAGGCGTCGACTCACCGCCTGCCACGTCGTCGATTTCCACTGGTAAATGGCCAAAATAACTACATTGAAATTTCGCGTAAAGATTTAGAACTATATTAGCAAAATTGAACGGTTTATGACTGAACGAGTATGCGTACAATAAGTTCAGGACTGATCAGGTTATTTTCCCGAAAGATATCCCTAAAGTTTCTTGGTGAAATCCTTCGAATTGAATTTTTCTTCAACTAGACGAGCCATCATAAATTGAGTCAGTTACGGATCTGACCAAAAGACGGAGATGAAGTTGACATGAGATTCTAATGTTGAGTTTGGCACAAGAGATATGAGTAGACTACTATAAAAAAAAATATTCAAGATGTCAAAACAAGCAAGATTTTCTATATGGTCGATCAAAATCTGAACAAAATATTTCGGCGCACGTAAAATAAAAATTCTTTAGACATATAAAGAACCAAAGAATCTGCTGATGTTACCTGAAAACATTGGTGGAGGGTGCGGTAGAGATTGGAAAATCGGAAACAACGGCACCCCCAAGAAACTGAGGGAGTTCTAGTTGATCTTATTTATATGGTTTTTGAATTCATCGTTTCATTAACAAGCATGACACGTGGCCCTGCGCGAGCAAGCTCTCCTTACAATTGTCATGCATGTATCCATCTGGGTGTACATTTGTAGATCATGCAATGGCCGACCTTAGAAGTGGCAATTCATTAATTGCAATATCTTCCGCGACATTAAATATTGAGAAATACGTGTGAATTATGTTAGAAAAAGTCCCACAAGTGATGTGGAATATTTAATATATTATAGTTAGCATATAACTCATTGACTTAAGTTTTTGACTAGATGTGGATCTAGCTGGATATATTTACGGGTTTGGGTTTGAGCCTCCTCTTGGAGATCTCGCTAAGTGAACATGTCAACTTCTTCTGTGCACTCCCAACAAATAGGTATTAGAATCGATAGTTGATTTGTGCTCCACCCCAAATCTGTTTCGGTGTTTGGTGAATATCCGGAGGTAGCCTTCATGGTTCGGTTTGGAGATGGGTGTTGATGGAGATATAAGTTAAGATATATTGATGCATATCTAACACTACACTTACATGCGAGAAGAAGATTGTGTTGTTGAAATATTCGTGTGAGTCATGTAGAGTGAAGATAGGTCCAACTGGATATGTTGACGGGCTCCGACTGAGCTCTCCCTTGGCGATCTCTTGAAGTGAAGGTATAGATTCCTCTTACAATGCTATAACATAGTAAAAACACGTAGCATGTATGTCATTCAATAAATGCTAGT